TTAATTTCTTAATCTTTCATTAAACTTTCATTAAACGTTAATATTTGGTTGATTTTAGGTTGAATGTTCGACATTGATGTCAGCCTGACATTGGGTTCTGATGTCAATCCATTTTTCATTTCCAAACAAAATGCAACGTCTTCATGTTGTTGGGGTAAAACGTCATGTTGACGTCTTGTGTTTGCTGGGTGTTTAAGGCCATTTCAGTCACCATACATTAAACAAGAGTCATCTTCTCATCAGGGACATGCATCTTAACAGTCTCTGGGTCAATGTGTGTAAAGATTTTGAACATCTTCTTGGACACTTTTAATGCTTTCAAGAGGTTTGCTTCAATTATAAATCGCCCATGTCTTGAGGTAGTTCATTATGATGCGATTTACCTTCTATGTCTGATTTGATTGGACTGGAATCACAGAACTGATTTTTCTAATCTCCATGGACGAGAAATAATAAAGTAGTGACTGCAGGCTGAAGGAAAGTAGTGAAGTAAAAATACCGATACAGCATTGAAAATATACTTAAAGGTTCACGAAACCCTCAAGTACTTTTTTTTTTGTTGTTGAGATTTTAACAGATTTGTGTGTTGAGCATCAGTTAAGACAATGTTAGCACCTGTCAGCATTAATTGTGGGAAAAACTGGATAATTTAGAGCTCTTGTCAGATAATTTCAGCTTCCGGGTTTAAAATGATTTTTGGGCCGGGATCAAAATCAGCGACGCAGTGCAAAACTGCAAGTGCAAAGATGACGCATCAGTTTCTCATTATTATTCAAAGCTGAGTTTTCTTATCCTATGAGAAGAGCCGGCTCCTTAATTATTCATGACTGCACTTGCTTTCCGAAGGCAAGGCAGACCTGCCAATGCTAAGTAAAACGGTGTGGATGTGGATCATTTTCGTTCTAAAATGCCATTTTAACATTAAGACGTAATAGTGTAAACAGGGCCTGAGTGTGTATTTTTCGCGAGCGGGTATCGATTGCGATCGATTGCGATTGCGATTGCTCAGCATCTTGTTGTCTATTGGCCATCGGCGATGGATGATGGCATGGTCTGTGTTTGGTGCTGATTTTAATGTGCTGATTTTAACGTGGACTTAAACAAATCACATTTGTGATGTGACAGAAAAAAGAAAGTCATTTCTGAGATGACAAATTGATGCTATTTCGATTGCATTTACAGAAAGTCCAGGATCGTGTGTTAAGAAAGTATATGTGCTATTAGATTATTAAAGACGCAAACCTCTCACTGCACGACAGCTGCACCTTCAGCCAACCTCCTAATTCCTGCAGCACGAGGACTTCATGATTGTTTATGAGCGTCTAAAGTGGCTGATCTGTTTGGCGAAATGTTTGACTGTGTGTGACTACATATCAAACGACTTAAACAATATAACTAAAGCAATCTCCACTGTGCAATGCAAGAGCGCTTCTTACTGAACAGTGCATCATCGATGATGTAAGCGTGCTCAGGCGCGAATGCAATGTGATTGCGGGGCATCTGGGGAGACGGGAGGGGATACAAGCATGCTTCGGCCCGGTTCAAGGCAACTGTACATACTGAAAATCAAACTTAAGTAAAAGTTCCATTACTTACTTAAAAGTGTAGTGCAGGTAGAGTAAAAGTGTTTCAAATATTATTCAAAGTATGAGTAAAAAGTAGCCCTTTCAAAAGTACTCAAGAATAATGTAGTGCATCTAGATATTGCCCTGCAGGCACACAACATCATAAGACGTTAATAATAGGTTACATTTAGGTTGTGATATCAGGTGATATCATCAGGTTTGATGTCCAAAACGACGTCAAATGACGTTGATATTTGGTTGATTTTAGGTTGTGTTAGAAACTGGCTAAAATCCAACGTTGAGCCAACATCTTAAACCAACGTCATACTGATGTCAAATACAGGCATTTATTCGTCAGGTATGGGAACCAAAATCTAACGTCTGATAGACGCAATAATGGTAACATCCAAACAACGTCAAGCTTAAACATAATTAAACGTTGATATTTGGTTGATCTTAGGTTGGACGTTCGACATTGATGTCAGCCTGAGATTGGGTTCTGATGTCAACCCAATTTTCTTTCCCAAACAAAATGTGCTTTTTTTTTTTAAAGATGTTAACAGATGTGTGTATGTTGAGCATCAGATAAGACAATGTTTGCACCTGTAAGCTTTAATTGTGGGAAAAAAACAGATAATTTTGAGCTCTTGTCAGCTAATTTCAGTTTCTGGGTTTAAAATGATTTTTGGGCCGGGATCAAAATCAGCGACGCAGCGCCAAACTGCAAGTGCAAAGATGACGCGTCGGTTTCTCATTATTATTCAAAGCTGAGTTTTCTTATCCTATGAGAAGAGCCGGCTCCTTAATTATTCATGACTGTACTTGCTTTCCCCGAAGGCAAGGCAGACCTGCCAATTCTAAGCTGTGAGACACATTGATGACTGGATGAGACCGCGTCCACGGAACCACGGCACACAGTATTTAGCCATTCATAAAGGCTCATATGTGTTTGCTTCCATGATGCATGGGGTTTGTTGCATGTTTTTCCCTGTGATGCTGTCAGTGCAGATCATACAGCAAAGTTGTGTGTGTGCTGCAAGCATTTTTTATATGGGAGAGTAGTACGAGAATTGGAGAATGGCGGATGTTGTCTTTAATAGGAGTTCGTTCACATTTAGACACATCGCCGTGCTGCTGTGTTCGCCTAAATCGTCTAGATTACCAACAGGGCTAATGGTTAAAATAGACAGGGCAAGAGACCTGCTGCTCTGAGTCTGCATTCAGACCCGGGGATTGAGGCAGAAGTACTTATTTATAGTGTTTATATGAACACGATTATCTTTATAATAATATAAATTGTGGTTGTGTGTATATGAAATTACTAATAACAAATGTAGCAGGGCATTAAATTACTGTTTATTTCTTTGCATTTTAACTTTGTAAACTATAAAATCATGCATCTCACGGTTTGTGTCTTTTGTGAGCCGACTGACGACAGTTGTTCGCTCTCCTCCCTGGCCACGCCCACTCCTGCTCTTTGCTCATGGAGCTCCACGCCCACTATGATGCATCTTTTGAAAAAATTCTGAGGTAGACCTGAACCGAAAGTGGGGGGTGTCATCGCACTTTAAAGGAAAGTAACATTAAAAAGTAATTTTTAAAAAGACTTTAAAAAGATTCATAGTCTCCTTAAAATTGTGACTTGTGAAGCTACAATGGCCCAAATTAAAAAAGCTAGACCTAGTACCATTGATGCATGGCAATGTTTTTCTTCTAGCATTTTGGACTATCTAAAGAAATTACCATGTCAAGGTTTTTTTTTTTTAATCCTCCATGTAAATCTTTCAGATTGAAAATTGTTGATATGTCTGTTGCTCCCCCTCCCCTGTTTGTTTGTTTGTTTGTTTGTTTGTTTGTTTGTTTGTTTGAATGTCTTTTATTTTGTTAATCTAAAGTCAATAAAATGTTGATCACAAAAAAAATTGAACGCTTCACTAGCGAGAACAACATAGCATCTGCAGTGCGAGGATAAAGAACGAGCCTCCTCCATTCAGCCTCTTTACTTTCTCTTTACTTTTACATTACTCTGAATTATGCAAGAAACATCTCATGGATGCATTTGGAACACATTACCAGTGATGTATCCTGGGATCATTGGGTGTTTCGGGTCTCTCAACATCATATACCCTCACCCAGGTGACCCAGGCGGGGTTGATCAAATCCCGACTTGTGTCCCAACAGCAGTCCACGGATCTGCCCTCTTAATCCACAGCCACCTTATGGCCTTCTCTGCGGCTTCACTTGCGGATCGAATGTCCCTTTTCTTTGCCACGCCTGTAATGCCCAAACGACTGAGGACTTTGCAAAGTGAACGTCCTGCAAAGCCTTACACTGCTTTCCGCAAATGCATGTCCCACATATTTTATTCGTCGTCTGTTCATTTGCATGGGTCGTTAACCTTTGATCTGGCGATTGGAGATCTCATCCTCCCCCCACTCGGTATCTCCTGGGGGTGTCCCTCTGTAGGGCTTTCCGTAGCTTATTTGAGTTCTCCTCCATGAAAGACATAGGCTGGGGTGCTAACCCATACTGTCCCAGGTGCCATCTTTCTGTGCCGTCATACTGTACTCTCCAGTAGTCGACCAAACTATTCTTGGTTGCCACCTAGTCTATTCCTAGGAGTCACTGGCTGTGCCAGGCTTGAATTAACAGGCTTTTGCGGGAAAAAAAGTTGTTATGTCTATGGGAAATCAACGTAAAATATGACAATGCACATGTGTTATTTATTTTATATCCTTAAACCTGAAATCACACAGGCTTGTGGGCACTTAATTGAGGTCTCCATGGCTTAACAAGCTTCTAAACTGTATAATAGTTTCCGTGAGGGTTGGCTTAGGGGTATATTTGGAGTTAAAGGACGTTCTATACTGTGTGTACAGTATGAAAATCAATATTCAGTTCAATCCATCTTTATTTCTGTAGCTCTTTTAACAATGTGGATTGTCAAAGCAGCTTGACAATATGCTGAAGACACCATCAAACCTGTGTTGTGTAAGCTTGCTAGTGTATGTGCATGCTTGTGTGTGTTGTGTAAGTTCTAAGTGTGTAAGTGTGCTCTGTGAGCGCATTCATGTCTGTATTGTTTGTGTTACTGTCCCCACAAGGATACTAAAGACTATTTTTTAATTGGCAGTGGAGAACAATCGCAAATATTAAAACTGTTTATCTGTTTCTCAGCACTGGGTTGCACCTGGAAGGGCATCCGCTGTGTGAAACATATTCCAGAGTAGTTGTTGGTTCATTCTGCTGTGTCACCCCTGGTAAATCAGCGACTAAGCCAACAGAAAATGAATGAATTATTGATTATTTGGAAAAAATAAAAACTGAAAGGGGTTTAGGTTAGATTTGGGTTCAAGGAAAAGTTAGTTTGGTACAGTATAAATGTATGAAATGTCTTCACCATTTGAAACCCAGTATGTGAATTTGTGTGTGCAGGTGTGGCGGAGGTGATTGTGCTGGTGGGCGGTCGACAGGTGGTAGGGATGAACCATCGCTCTCTGACAGCCGTCACCTGCTTCAACCCTCAGAACAACAAGTGGTACCCGCTGGCCAGCCTCCCCTTCTACAACCGTGAGTTCTTCTCGGTGGTCTCGGCGGGGGATAATATCTACCTGTCAGGTGAGCGGAGCGACAGCGTGTCACTCGCCGTTTGCTGGCGTCCCACGGGCGTCTGGCTTTATATTTAGCGCTGTGCACTCAGGGATGATGGGAAAGCAGATGGTTGTCTTCACCACAGACTGTGTGTCAGTTTATGATGCTAAATATCATAAAAATAGAGAATGGTGGAAGCACTGACGCAGGATTGGTGACGATTTTAAAGATGGAATTTGTTCGTGAAGATTGTATATGAGTAAATGGTGTGTACCAACCATATTTTATTATCTGGGATGGATGAAAATGCTTTTTACAATTTTAAGGGTGTGTGAGACAAATGTTCAATTTGGGACATTAAAAAACAAAAACAAAAAAAAGACATGAGAAAGTTTGGAATCTTCTTTTTTTTTTCGCATCTGGTCGGATGGCCTTGCATTCACATACAGGGAAGCATTGTCATTTCTTAATATCACCTGGTCTTCCACCACTCTCAAAAATAATCTGAACAGTTTGGCATTGTGGGAAAGAGACTCTCATATCAAAGACTGAGTCAGATTTGAAGCAGCCGCCACTAAGGTCAACACAGAAAAGACATCAAATTACAAATGTCTTAGGAAAACTATATGTTGTCATTACTGTGGTAAAAAGGGACATTGGATTAGGGAGTGTAGAAAGAATAAAAAGAATTTTAAAGAGATGAACAGGGTAAATCAACTTCTGAGCAGTTTGCTGAATGCCCTCAACATACCCCTCACATTATCACTAGATCCATTGAGCTGTGCACAAAGATGCTAACCATTATTTGGCTGTGAGTTCTTAATGTCCCAGTACATTTACAATTAAGATGAAAGACTCTTCGTAAAAAGACACAAAGGAAACTTCCTTTTTATTGGGGGAAAAAAGGGCTTATTGGGCTTAAAAAAAGGCTATTTAAACTTTTGGTTCACAATTATCTGCATGGGACAACTTAGGCATAGGAACAAGTTTTGGAATAAGAAGTTTTGTGCTAAAAAGTAAATTAATAAATAAACATACAAATAAAAAAATTATATATAAAATACTGTTAGGGGTGGCACAGGGGCTTAGTGCTTAGCACTGTTTCCTCAAAGCAAGAAGGTCGCTGGTTCAAGGTGCTCCGGTTTCCCCCACATTGCCCGGTGAATGTAGCTTTGTTGCTAAATGGCTTACACGGATTTTATTGAGAGAATAGCTGTGTTCATGTGCATTATGGAGGCTGAAAAACAGCGTAGATTCGTTCGGCGCAATTGTCTGAGGTCATTATAGATTCTTTCAGAGGTGCACCAAGCTCTGTGAGTTCATCAACTATTCCAGAAACTATACCTGGATGATGGAAGCTTTTAGCGGTGTTTCTGACTGAGCCTGAGTCAGCAGAATGATTTTCCCCCTGGACACCAACAACAGGCGCTTCATTATAATCATACGTCCACAAGAGCAAGCTCCTGATTGGTTAAAGCGGCGCAAACGTCTGCTAAAGTTCAGATTTTCGAACTTAAGCAATTTGTGAGAAACATGCGATACGCATGTTAAGTGCGTCAATCGCACAAAACGCTCAACACGCGCCGCTTCATTCTCGCGCATCGCGCCGCAGGATGTCTATTCACGTCTTTGCATTGACTTAACATGTAAATCACTCACGCTAGACGCTACTTCCGTGTCTGGTGTGAACGCACCATTAAAATGTTCACACGTCTATTTACATGCGAATATCTCGATTTATCTGCACGTACTGCGTCTAGTGTGAACACAGCATTACAAAGAAAAACTTGTTTTTTTGCATAAATCGTACAAATTCTGTATGAATAGAGAAACTAAAATCATTTCTGTAACTCCTGGTCAACTATAATCCAGACTCAACATTGCATATCTTGCGATGTGACTATTGCAGATGCGGACATTGCGATATCGATGCTGAAATGATATATTGTGCCGCTCTAGTGTATGTCTTTTGATCAGATGTGTGATAATGTAGGTGTGAGTGTGTAAATTGCGCTCTTCTGTCTGTCTGCTCTTCAGGAGGTGTGGAGTCTGGCGTGACGCTGGCAGACGTCTGGTGCTACATGTCTCTGCTGGATAACTGGAATCTGGTGTCTCGGATGACGGTCTCGCGCTGCAGACACAACAGTGTGGTTTACGATGGCAAACTCTACGCCATTGGAGGACTCGGAGCGGCTGGAAATCTGGACAATGTGGAGAGGTAACATTCAGTCCTGCTGCGCTGTGTGTGAGTGGAGGTGTGTGTTTAGGAAGATCTGTATTAATATGTGCACAGTTACACAGAGGTCATGACTCAGTTGCTTACTTAGGAAGGAGGCTGAGAAGTGGGAATACACTGTAGTAGCACCCTGTTCTAACAACAGAGCAATAGGTCACACTTAATTTTCATTGTGCGTTTGTTGAATTTAAGGGTGCTTTCACATCCGTAGTTCACTTTATTTCATCCGGACCAAGGGTAATAAATGATACACTGTAGCATCTTCTGCCGTCTTTGGGTCGTTTTCACACCACACTGCTGGCTTTGATCCGAACCAGTTGAAACGAACCAAAATGCAGTCATCAGACAAAATCCACATCTCTCATTGGCCAGATGTTGTTGAACATTTTTCCTAAACTGCTTATTGATTGGTCAGAATGCCAGTGAACTCCCGCAAGTAAACAAAAGCTTTTACTCTGGAGGGACGACTGCGCTGGCTGATTGTATCCCTGCTTTAGACAAACTATACATTACGAAAATGAAGCGCGGCCGCGGCTGGGAAACAGTGTTTAATGCATCACTCGTCACTTCAGGAGGAGACGTGAATTAATTTAGCTAAACTGTGACATGCTCATCTTGCAGAAATATTACCAACGATCCATCAGGTAATGTTTCCCCCTCTCTCTCTCTCTGTTGGTAAAGCAGCTGAATTAGTCCAAAACGCGCAGTACTTTTTGCGGTTGGACCTGTTTTGGTACGGATCATATTCTCACCACAAACGAACCGCTCCAGGGTTCGTTTGAAAGCGTACCATGACCACCTCTTCAAGCAGGTCTCGGTACGCTTATTTGGTCCGCTTTTGGTGCGCACTTGAGTACGATTGCTGAATTCTCACCTGCCCAAACGAACCGCACCAAAAGGGGAAACGAACTCTAGTGCGATTCAATCAAACTAAATAAGGCAGGTTTGAAAGCACTCTAAGTTACAGTTCATCTACATGCCAACTATTTCTCATTAGATTATAAGTAGACTGTTGGGGTTAGGGTTGGGGTTCAGGTTAGTGTAAGTAGACATGTACTTGCAAATTTTCTCATAGTCAGTTTAATGTCTGTTGAAGGAGCAGTATCAACAGATATTAAGCAGACAGTCTACTAATACTCAAATAGACCTTTAAAATAAAGTGTTACCAAGCAATTCCAGTGTTATCTATGTGACATTTGCAGTAAAATCTTAAAACAAAAATACATAAAGTGTATTTTAAAGGTGCTGCATGTACGTTTTTGACTCCTCTGAAGCATGAAAATACCATAATATGTTTGCAGATATTTCAGAAACATGCTTAGTGAACATTCTTGTTTATCTGAAAAACAATGTTAAAGTCAGATATTCTGCTTTGGAAATGTGTGAAAATGAGTTATGTGCCGGAATGGCTGTTTTTGTTTTGGTCATTTAACCCACCCGATGCCAGTTTATCCAATTATATGTCAGCACGTCCGGGTTGCCTTGGTGGAAATTAGCATATTTCATTTATTCAGTCATGAAGGCTCTCAAAGAATGCTTCAATGACCACCGTTGCACAGTAATAGAGTAATTAGCAAATAATACAAATATTGTAACGTAAACAATAGATGAGCAGGTTACATTGTAACCCTGTGTCCTAACAATACTGTAGGAATGGGTTTTAACCACAGCGGTTCGAACTGTAGTTTTGCCGAGTGACTAAAAGGGCAGATATGGTGGCCGGGAATTGCAAAACAAAGTTACAAAGTGTGAAATACTATTACAAAGCTCTAGACAAATTCACATTTTGAAAAACTTTTTATCTATCATCAGACACAATTACATAGGAAAAACAATTTTACCAAGGACGAAACAAATTTACATTTTATAAAAAAAATTAACAAGATGCAAAAAAAAGGCCCGAAACAAACTTACAATTACAGATTCCTTACGGAAAGGGAATGTACCACACACCGGAAGTGACGTGGAATGTACCACACACCGCACCGGGAGTGACCCAGAATGTACCACACACACATGTAAAACTTTCTATCCAAGACTAAAAAGGGCATGTGCGCTGCACAGGTTGAGCCCTATGTGTGCACTTGCCTGCCACAGAGTTAATGGGATCAGAAAAATATCAATTTATAAACATTGTTTTATATTTTAATTGAGAAAAATGCTTTAGATAAACACACAGGCAGCGTGCATGCATCTATAGAAAATAGATTTATCGCTGTAAGTCTGTTATGTTCTTCCCAAATGTGCATAATTATACAGTTGAAGAATTATTAGCCCCCCTGTTTATTTTTCCCTAATTTCTGTCTAACAGAGAGATTTTTTCAGCACATTTCTAAACATAATAGTTTTAATCACTCATTTCAGGTCACTGATTTATTTTACCTTTGCCATGATGACAGTAAATAATATTTGACTAGATATTTTCAAGACACTTCTATACAGCTTAAAGTGACATTTAAAGGCGTAACTAGGTTATTTAAGTTAACTAAGCAGGTTAAGGTAATTAGGCAAGTTATTGTATGTATTGTATTTTATGTAATGATGGTTTGTTCTGTAGACAGTCAAAAATATAGCTTAAAGGGGCTAATAAATCTGACCTTAAATTGGCTTTAAAAAAATTAAAAACTGCTTTTATTCTTGCTAAATTAAAACAAATAAGACTTTCCCCAGAAGAAAAACATATGATCAGACATACTGTGAAAATTTCCTTGATCTGTTAAACATCATTTGGGAAATATTTAAAAAAAAAGAAAAAATCCAATTCAACTGACTTCAACTGTATATACCAGGGGCCTCATGTACGAAGACTTGAGTGGAAATCTTACTAAAACATTGCGTACGCACAAAGCTGTAAATGTGCGTACGCAGAAAAAAATTCAGATGTATGAAACACTGCGAACGCCGAATCTCACGCATATTCTTTTGTACATCTGAATGAACGTGAAACTGAGCGCAACATGCACGAGCACAAAACCCCTCCCTGCCTCCTCCCCCGTATGAATATGCTAATGACTATGCTAATGGCAAAACCCAACGAAAAAGCAACGGCAAAAGCAAGCAAAAAGAGAAACTTTGAACAGAATGTGAAATGGAGGTGCTGCTTTTGGAGGTAGACCAGAGAAAAGCGGTGTTATTTGCAAGTTTGTTCTCCGGAATTAACAACAAAAGAAAAAAATAGAGTGGGAGTTTAGCTGATACGGTTAACACAGTTGGGTCTGAACATCGCACTGAGTGCATTTAAAAAAGAAATAGTGTGGTTTATAACTGAAAAATGTTGCAGTACCCTAAGCGGTCTCAGTGGCGCACCTCATAAGAAGCATGAGATCATGTACAGACATATTCGAGCGTCAACTCGGCTCGAATCCAGCGTCTGATAAATTCTTTATTCTTTTTTCCCCCGCTACATATCAGATTTTGCCCACTATTTATCAAGAGAAAGACAAGTAGGAATCATCAATAAGTTTGTGCATCATATTTTATTTGCACATTTATTGAATGGAAATGTTTCTGATTCACGCATGCAAATTCATCTTCAGATAGTGTCTTTATAGCAATGTGCGTGCGGTAGATTGCTCAGATTACATTGCGACTGCTGCAATTTGCGCTTTAATGTTTAGCTGGTCAACTGTATGGTATGGAAATCTTACATACCTACTATATGAACCCGTCTCACACAGCTGCCATTGCAAGGCTCAGACACTTTGTAGAGAGGAATTTAACACAACTGCCTCTAGGAGTCGCCAATGGAAATAAAACAGACACGCACAAAAAATGTGCGGACGCCTGCCAGAAAGCTGCCGTGAAGCTGCGCACATTCCCACGTTCAGTTCATTGTTAGTAAATCCAAACGTGAGCGATTCTGAGCGTGAAACCTGGCGTACGCAAAGTTTTTGTGCGTACGCAGCGTTGATACATGAGGCCCCTGGTGATTCAAAAAGAATGTCACAACTTTGAAAAGCTGTATTTAATCACAGAAACATGATGCAACCTTGGGTAATTAATCAATGTGAAGAGTACTTAACAACATTATTTTAAGTAGAAAACAAGTTCATAGATGTTCAATATGTCCCCCGCCCGACACTCGAGTGACATCAACCCGAAAATTGTTGTATTCTTTTTGAATCACCCGATATTATAGATTTTTTTCAACACTTTGAACATTTGTTAATCATTCATTAATTCATTCATTTTCTTGTCCCTTTATTAATTCGGGGTTGCCACAGCAGAATGAACCGCCAACTTATCCAGCAAGTTTTTACGCAGCGGATGCCCTTCCAGCCGCAACCCATCTCTGGGAAACATCCACACACACACTCATACACGGACAATTTAGCCTACCCAATTCACCTGTACCGCATGTCTTTGGACTGTGGGGGAAACCGGAGCACCCGGAGGAAACCCACGCGAAGGCAGGGAGAACATGCAAACTCCACACAGAAACGCCAACTGAGCCGAGGTTCGACCCAGCGACCTTCTTGCTGTGAGGCGACTGCACTACCTACTGCGCCACTGCCTCGACATTTTTTTTATAATTAATTTCTAATAACTAATTCATTTAAACTTTGCCATGATGACATAATACTTGAGTACATCATATTTGACTAGTTATTGTATGATACAAGTATGCAGATTAAAGTGACATTTAACGGCTTAAGTGGGTTAATTAGGTTAATGAGGCAAGTTATTGAACAACAGTGCTTTGTTCTGTAGACAATTTAAAACTGTACGTGTGTGTGTGTGTGTGTGTGTGTGTGTGTGTGTGTGTGTGTGTGTGTGTGTGTGTGTGTGTGTGTGTGTGTGTGTGTGTGTGTGTGTGTGTGTGTGTGTGTGTGTGTGTGTGTGTGTGTGTGTGTGTGTGTGTGTGTGACTGACAGAAGTGCGTGTGCATTGTTAGACAGTGACTGCTCATTTACAGCACACACTCTGACAGTGGTGATCTCGACATCTGCTCATTGGCTGTGATGTGTTCAGTCGGAGTCTGC